TCATTAATGCTACCTATGTCTATATCATGAAATATTTAAAACAATATATCTTAAACTATGTTAATATAACTTTATGATATAAATAAATACTGTTGGTGGTAATGGTTATGTTTATATTAGCAGTAATACTAATATTAACAATAATAGTAACAAGAATAAATTGATGACAATAACAACAGATTTCAGAAGCACAGAATGCTACATCAGAAAGTGATACAGCAGGACCCCATTTAGTTGTTTGGGGAACAAATGTAATTATAAGTCAGTGCAAAGAACAATTCAAATTATTTTTTCAACAATATGTTGATCCAAATGCAGAGAATGATGAATTACCGGAAAATATGAATTTGTCGGAACCTTTGTATCTTCAAAAATTGGAAGAAATACACACTTTGGAAGAACCATACTTAAATGTCAATTGTGCTCATGTAAAAACTTTTGATGAACATCTTTATCAACAATTGGTTTCTTATCCTCAAGAAGTGATTCCAACACTAGACATGGCAGCAAATGAATTATTCTTTGAAAAATTTCCAGCAGCTGTTTTGGAACACCAAATCCAAGCGCGCCCGTTTAATGTAGCTAAGATCAAAACAATGAGAGAATTAAATCCTTGTGATGTAGATCAATTAATTACAATTCCAGGAATGGTAATTAGAGTGTCACGATTAATTCCACAAATGCGAGAAGCTTATTTTAAATGTAGCGTTTGCGCCTTTACAACTCTTGTAGAGATTGAAAAAGGAAAAACAAAAGAACCCACAGTATGTGCACATTGCACACATAAATATTCTTTCACTTTAATACATAATTTAAGTCACTTTTCTGATAAACAAATGATTAAATTGCAAGAAGCTCCAGATGAAATGCCACAGGGACAGACTCCACATACTATTGTTTTATTTGCACATAATAATTTAGTAGATGCAGTGATGCCTGGAGATAGAGCTTCTGTTACTGGAATTTATAGAGCAGCAACACATAAGCCTAATTTTGAGCATAATTTACAAGCTATTTATAGAACATATATTGATGTAGTTCATTTTAGAAAACAAGACTCTAAACGGTAAGGCAAAAATAGCTACAATTCTAGAGGTTTGTTTTTACTGGTTGCTTGTTTCAAACTATTCATAGATTATACGATCAAAAGGACGGTAAAGAACATAATTTTACACCTGAAAGAGTGGAAATTTTAAAATTATTTGCACAAACGGAGGATATTTATGAACGATTAGCCAAACATATTGCTCCTAGTATATATGCAAATGATGATGTAAAAAAAGGAATTGTATTACAATTATTTGGTGGAACTAGAAAATCTTCTACTTTACATGGCAAACATTTTCGACCTGATATTAATATACTACTCTGTGGTGATCCTGGCACAAGCAAATCGCAGTTGTTACAATATATTTATAATTTGGTACCTCGATCTCAATATACCAGTGGGAAGGGTATGCTAAAACAAAAATAAAAATAAATTATCAAAATTAAAAATTC